AGTTTCTCTTACTCTAGGAGAAGCATATTATTTAAGAATTCTTTTGAATAAAGTAAAAGGTCCTAAATCATTCGAAGACATTCGTACAGTAAATGGAAAAATATTTCTTACTTTTAGAGATGCATGTTATGCTCTTGGGCTTTTAGATGATGACAACGAATATATTGATGCCATTAAAGAAGCAAATTTAACCGCATCTAGTTTTTATCTATGCATCTTATTTGCAACCATGCTGATTTCAAACAGTGTATCTAGACCTAAGTTTGTTTGGCAAAAAACATGGCAATACTTAGCAGATGGCATTCTCTACAATCAACGAATTTCTTTAAAGTCTCCAGGTATATTAATTGTATATCTTATGTATAGATTTATACAACTATTATCTAAATACTAAAGAATTTATTGTTTTTGTATTTGTTAACTATTATGTTCTTCCTTAAATTGTATTTAAGTTTAATTTTATGTATTAATTGTTTACATTTAGATTATATTTTTACAGATTTATCTCTCAATGAAGAACAAGTGAAGAACCTAACATTGTTTGAAATTGAAAAGATTTTGCTCCGTAACAATTCCACCCTAAGAAACTTCACCACTCTGCCTTATCATGATAATGATTGTCTTGAATCTTCAAACAACCGTTTGATTACGGAAGAGCTAGATTATAACCATCATAATTTACGTGATGAGATTACAGAAGCTTCTAACTGCTCCAACAAATAAGCAAAGAGGTGTTTATGACGAAATCATGACCCTTGTTGAAAAGAACAAAGGTGGTGTGTTTTTTGTTTATAGGCATAGCGGAACAGGTAAAACATTCATATGGAAGACATTGGCTGCATCAATAAAATCTAAAGGAGAAATTGTTTTAGAAGTCGCTTCTAGTGGTGTTGCTTCTTTACTTCTTACCGGTGGCAGAACAACACACTCTCGATTTCAAATCCCTCTCTTTATCAAYGAAGATTCACTTTGTCACATAAAGCCAGACAGTGATGTTGCGAAGTTAATAAAAAAGACTATTTTGATAATATGGGATGAGGCACCAATAATTTATAAGCATGCATTTGAAGCATTGGATAGAAGTATGAACGATATTTTCAATAGTCAACGCATTAGTGATTCGCAAATGCTTTTTGGTGGCAAGATAATTGTTTTTGGAGGAGATTTCAGACAAATTCTGCCAGTTATTCCCAACGCAAGTAGACAAGACATTGTAAATGTGTCATTAAGCTCATCTTACAGTTGGGAAAATGAAAAGTCCTAAGGTTAACAAAGAACATGAGGCTAACTGCAAACAGTGAGTGTTCTGAAATTGAACAAACAAGCGGTTTTGCAAACTGGATTTTGGACTTAGGAGAAGGCAAAGTAGAGGTGATAATGATGGTGAGGCAGTTATTGAGATACCTCATAATCTTCTCATTACCGATTCAGTCGATCCTATATCTGCATTAATACAATTTGTCTATCCCTCAATTCTTGAAAACATCAACAATTCATCTTATTTTCAAGAAAGGGCAATACTTGCACCAAAACATGAAGTCGTTCAAGAAATAAATGATTGTTTGCTATCATTGTTCATAGGAGACGAAAATGAGTACKTAAGTTTAGATACGCTATGTGAATCAGAGCAACTTCACGATCAGTTTGATAAAACTTTGTACTCTCCTGATGTCTTAAATGGTCTTAAATTATCAGGGATACAAAACCATAAAATTTTACTAAAAGTTGGTGTTCCTATCATGTTACTAAGAAATATTGATCAGAAATCTGGATTATGTAATGGAACTAAACTATGGGTGTTATCATTGGGAAATCGGGTGATAGAAGCACAAATTATATCTGGAAGCAATATTGGAAGCCGGACATTCATTCCAAGAATGTCTTTGGCACCTACAGATAAAAGGATTCCATTCAAATTTTGAAGGAGACAATTTCCAATTGTTGTATGTTTTGCCATGACCATAAATAAAAGTCAAGGACAATCATTATCAAAAGTTGGTTTATTTCTAAGACCGGTCTTCACCCATGGCCAGTTATATGTCGCTTTATCTAGAGTTAAAAGCAAGCAAGGTTTGAAAGTATTAATTATGGATGATGATGGTATTATTGGCAGTAGAACAACAAATGTTGTATATAAAGAAGTGTTTAGTAATCTATGATACATGGTTGTTATTCTATTAATATTTTAACTACTTACCATTACCTAATTTCCTTTACATTTTGTTATAAATTTTGTTTTACAAGCYTTTAATAYTTACTCATATTACTATAGATTCTTTATAAAATGCATACTGCTTTCATTTAATTCTTGCAAAATAGCCAGTGTAATGCACGAGTGCGAAGGAGACTAAGCGGCTCTGCATGTACTATGCAGAAGCTATGTGTCTGGCGTGAAGCTCTATATCAAACACTTAATCTTTTTGGCGCTTAAGCCTTGATCTTCCTTGGAGTACAGCACGGGCTCCTTATATGAGATACTTAACTCTTGAGCAAGAGTTCTATCCCTTGATGTCTTTTGCATGAGAGCTGTTGGTCTAGCCCGGTTCAAAAGACTAAGGGGTCGTTTACCAAACACTTACCAAGTAAGCGTGTACTAGWAAAATTTAACACTATCATTTATTTACCCGGTAAAATTTTGGTCCACCAGAACGACATTGTATACAAGAATTTACATGATTAACGCTTACCGTAGTAAAAGTTGTTGCCCTCACTTACCGGGTAAAACTCTTGGTCCTTATCTCATTCTTACCGAGTAAGATTTTTGGACTTTATTATATTTATCCAATAAGGTAATGTGACTTGATAAACGCTTATCCCGATAAATGTTTGGTAAATTGTGATAACCGGGTCTTGGTTATTACCCAAGTTATTTATTATATGAATTAATTGTTTATGTGGATACATGCTTACATGAATTAAATATGTGAGTATATGTATTTTATGCATGGGGATATATGTATGCATAATATGTGTTATATATATATATATATATATATGTTATGTATATATATATATGCATCAATATGCATGTATGTGTAGGCATGTGTGTGTGTATGTATGTATGAATATATATATATATATATGCATGCATGTGGGGGAGCCCTGGTTGGCCGATTTCCCTAAAAAGGGAAGGTATAAATATTGATTTTGGGTATGAGGTAAGGTTTCTTGCCTCATTTGGAATTCTGGGAAAATTTAGAGAGAAGAATTGTCCGGAGATTCAAGTGGAATCAATTTGGTTTTTCATCTTCTTCTTCTTCAAAACTAAGTTTGTACTTAAGGTGAGTATTTCTAAAAAGTCTCTTATAAAGCCTTAGTTAATTGTTTTATAAAGAACTGCATATAGTTTTTGAAAAGAGTTGTGCGATTTAGGCCTTAATCGGATAAAAGGTGACCGGGTTATTATTAAACCGTTCACGTGTTGTCCGATTTAACTGTAAACCGGATAAGTGTTGTGCGATTTAAATGAGCTAGTGGAATCTTGAAACATGTAAACYGGACAAAGGTTTTGAACGGAGAAGTATGAATACGACCAATCATTGTGCGGTTTAGTCATARATCGCTCAAGGGTTATGCGGTCTAGTTATAAATCGGACAAGTGTGTTGTCCGGATTAGTATATCGGATATTGACTTATGTTTAACGGATTTGTAAATCGGCCAAGTGCTGTCCGGATTTGTACATCRGACAAAAAGGGACAGTGTTGTCCGGATAACTTGTCCGGATGTTTAKCTTATGGAAAAATTGGAAGTATTGGGTTTTCTYGAAAATCTTACAAATTGATAATTATTATTGGGGTTAATTATGGATTTATAAAAAGAGGTATTTTATATATTTTTAAATAAAAAGATATGTTCTACCAAGCATGGTGACGTAAGTCTGTTTTGGTATGAAACTATATATTGGGAAACCTTCCTACCAAGCGTGGTGAGTTTTGGTATGGAATTGGATTTTGTAAACTGTTTCTACCAAGCATGGTGACGTAAGTCTGTTTTGGTATGAAACTTGTTTYAAGAGGTAGTTTCCCCAAGACGTGGTGACTTTTGTCTGTTTTGGCTTGGAACTGGGAATGGGTACTTTCAGACGTGGTGACTTTTGTCTGTTCTGAATAGTAGCCCTGTTTTAATGGAGGAATAAGGGTGGCATATCAAGGAGAGGTGTACTTGGAATAAGGGAGGYATTGTCATATGTGGATGATATTATAACTCTTATTATTGTTGCTAATCGGATTTAATAACTTTGAATCATCATTTCTTTGTGACATGATGAATTAGAGATATTATTCCTATTAGAAATAATAATTTAGATGTTATTGAGAAGGGGAAAATGGTTTGTCATAAAGGATAAGTATTGCCTTAAATTTTTCCGTTAATATTTACAAAGGAATAGTCTGATGATTTAAAGAAGCTTTGGTCACAATATTGTTTCATATTGGGAATATTGAATCTTTAAGCAGATGTATTTTATTAAATAGAACTGAGATTCTTGAGTTTATCCTTTTTATACATGTTACCGAGAATTGCRTTATTTGATTATATTGCAAATATTTCTGTGCAAAGGTACTTTATTATATTTTGGTGTTCATCACCCTGCATTTGCAAAGAAGGGATTTACTCACTAGACCCTTCTTGTCTAATCCTCATTTTCTGTTTTAAAATTATGCAATGCAGGAATGGCGGGGTCCAGGGATAATAAGGGGAAAGGGAAAATGTGATTATTTTTCTAACTTGTTATCTACTTTTGAAGATCTGCTTAAGATTGCTAATTTTGAAGATACATGTTGTATTACATTTGTTAGTACAAGATTTTTTTTG